CCACACACAGACTCAAGGTGGTCGAGCCCAAGGCTCCAATATAGTCGGTCACAACAATAACTGTTCTCAAAGTATCCCGGAGGTAGACCAATGATTACGTGTGTATTTTGGGGTGTATGTTGAACGGTGAACTGATAGTAGTCATTCGTTCCCAACTGAGGAAACCGATATGTTTTCCTAGAACGTCACATAATCCGTGGGTTTGACCACACTCGAATGGTCTTGAGTACGCAAATGGTTGGAGGAGGGATGGAGATGCAAGCGAGCTGAATGGACGGATACGGTATTTCCTACCACAAACTGGGTTGTCCGTCAGACGGGGTGCTGATGAAAACAATCCGTGTTATCACGACTTTCGTCATTCGAGTGCGGCGCAACGGGAAACGCGCACGCAGAACTCGAGGTTCCTCGTCTGAGACTGGGATTGGACTGTATGCAGGTAGCCACAACTGCGGATCCGCCGTGGTGACTTGTGTCTGAACACCTTGCACAGAATGAGTGAGTGAGTGAAAGAAAAAATAACGTAATCCGTAAAGCACAACAGAACCGGATTGACACAATGAAGACAACCGAGCCAGCTCTCTAATGTCATTAACTGTCATAAACACAAACACAGCCACCTGCACTCTCTTATTCGCACACACACACACATACACATCTGCACGTTCTGTACACACTGAAAGAAATACGTGCCTGAACACACAGGCGTTGATACACACACAGACACACGTAATTAGTCAACTGTATGCCTGGTTGTACTACTGAATGAGTGTGCCTTAAGGTGCGTCCGTGCCCTGTTGTGGTTGCTGCGTTATGAGTGCGCACGTGTAAGCTAAAGTGTGCGTGTGTGCGTATTTGTATGCGTGCATTCCACTGGATGAGCCATCCAATGGTACAGCCTGTGCGTGTGTATGTGCGCGCACGCTCGCGGGCGCACTCCTGAGTAAGTGAGTTTGAGAGAGTAGTACGCTCTCGCTTCTTTTATTATCCGATCCAAACACGTACACATATTGTATGTGTGCGACTGTGCCAGCTTTCGAAGAAATGCAATATTGTTTGGGGGGGGGGGGGGGCATTATTCGGGGAGATCCGGGGAGATGTCCGTATTTTCTCCATCGGGGAATAAAAGTGCCGGGTTGATCGCATGAACAGGTTGGCAAAACTAACAATGGGATAACCAAAGGTGAAGAAGAACAGCAGCCTACCAGCATGCACAAGTAAAACGAAAACGGTTATTTGTGAAATAACGGGGCGGCAGGTAGAGCACGGATATCTGAATGGTCATTCAAAATGTATATATATATATATATATGTATGTGTGTGTGTGTGTGCGTGAAGATGTGTACTGTAGGCAGCCTTCAAAGCCAATGTTGTACTAGCTGGATTTGCATGACCTGAGGCGCCGTCTTCAGTCACCTGCTGATCGAATACCATTCCCGAGTGGATGGAAGAATATCAAACTCACAGCTTTCCCTCAAGGTTGTCAGACATCAGTCCATACACACGTGCGAACAATTTCATTCACTTGCACTAC